ATGTATATAATGTATATACATACCATGCCTGAAAAGAGCGTTACAAAAATCCTTTCCAAATATGTGGATGCCTATAGCATTGTGAACTATCTAAATGAAGTATATGATGTCGGATGAGAAGTGAGTCACAGAATGAATCGAGGGAGAGTTATGGTAGATCAGCAGTGACATGAGACATGTTGGGAATAGCACACCTGTGTGGAGAGCTGAAATGTGTGCCTTAGGTATGTCAGGCTATTTATAGAGTTGCCTAAGTAAGAAAGTCTCTGCCAGAGATTATACTGGAATATTAACCATTGTTTAAAGTGACTTTAACAGTAGAATACCTGTAGACTATTCAGCCTGTGGGCGTTGTCTGCGTCACTGTAATTGTTTGCTTGATTTACAGTAGAATCCAGAGACCACAGTCAAGATACTGTTGAATTAGATGCCTCATAGATGTACATTACAAAGACTATCACTAACCCAGTTTTGAGTTTGCAGTTGTTCAATATAAAATACGTTGAAAAGCAGGCAAGGGCAAAGAGAAAATTTTGTTCCCAAAACTTTAACTGCCAGTTGCAGGTCTTGAGAAGATGTGATACAGATTTTTTTCTGTGATATTGTTCTCTGTGCTTATTTTTTCCAGGGCACGATCTGATGCTATATGTCATTTAGGTTTGAAAATGCCCATGTCCTTAGAGAGTAGATTTACCAAGATCATGGCATGATGTGTGAAGTGCGCTACCTTGCGTACTGTGCCCAGCTACCGTTCCCCATCAATGCAGTCCCATAGGTTATGACTTAAGAGGATTGCCTACCTGCCAAAACTTACTCTACTTGAGAAACTTTCAGCTGTTTAAGATGCTTTTGGAAAGAGAATATAATCTCCAAAGGCAGCAGAGATTCTGGCTGGTGAGCAGGCATAGCAAGAATACAGCACTCACCCCTCTCCCTTGCCTGTGCTTCATCCATGGCTGCATAGGCCTCGAATGAAAACATTTGATAAAAGTTTTGTGTAGAAATTATTACTTTTTTTTTTCAATATTAATGCCAGCTTGTCAAAACCGCAGTTTTCCAGGGGAAAAAAATGGTGTTAAGACAGTTCTTATGCTTGATAATTATTGAGAGCTGGAGCATAGGTGGTTCCACAAAAACATTAGGAAAAACTTTTTCCCTGTGAGGGTGACAGAGCACTGGCACAGGCTGCCCAGGGAGGTTGTGGAGTCTCCTTCTCTGGAGACATTCAAAACCTGCCTGGACGTGTTCCTGTGTGACCTACTGTAGGTGATCCTGCTCTGGCAGGGGGCTGGACTGGATGATCTTTTGAGGTCCCTTCCAGCCCCTGACATTCTGTGATTCTGTAACATTCTGTAAGAGCGGGAAAAAGTCTCTGAAATTCATTAAGTCTTTTTGTTTGTTTTTTTTTTTCCCCTGGGTGGACAAATGTTAGGATTTTTTTCCAATTGAAATACCATAATATATTAACATAATTGTAATGCAGTAAGAAATCATTTCTCTGAACCAAAACAAAATGTTTTCAAATTACCTAATTAAAATACTTCACTTGACCCAGGCAAAGCATGGCGTGACTTATCAGATCACGCTCATTGTTGTGTGCTTCCTGCTAAAATAAGGAACCTATTTGTATTAGATACCTTCATCCGGTAGATATAATTAGAGAGTTATTTCTTTCTCAGTCTTTATATCTCTCTTTAAATACATGGTCACTTGTTTTGAGTTTTTCTGTGTTTGTTTTCTAAATTTTGCTAGATTTTGTTTGCGGCCTGCCTTCCCAGGCATTGAATCATTTTTGTAACTCTTTGCTGAATCATGTCCAGTTTTTAGCATTTATTTTAACATGTGGACAACAGAAAAGGACACAGTGTTCCAGTAATGGCCCGCCCAGAAGGCGTGTGCAGAGGTGATACAATCTCCTTACTGCTGCCCAGTGTTGTCTTGTTTATACATCCAAGAATCCTGCCAGAGGCTTTTGCCAGAGCGTTACACGTGGAGCTCATACTCAGTTTGTGAAAAAAAGATGAGTTTTTAGGACATTGATCCTTTGACAGTGACTAACCTCCTTGTTACTCTTAGTATTGTTATCAGTTTCTTCCTGTTTCTTACTGAGTGAAATTGTAAGGTTAATGTTTTGATGACATCATGATTTCCACGACAGTGGATTCCTGCAACAAATTGCAAGCTTTCAGGATAAAAAGCACAAGCTGCTGAAGAAGGCAGAGGGCACCTATGAATTAGGAGAAAAGTTAAAATAATTCCTTTTGGATTACTTTTTTCTCCTGACTTGTTTGGTTTAAATCCCTGAAATTCAGTCCCAGAGATCAAGTAATTAAACTGCCTTATATTTTTTGACAGGCGCAGTCACTGGCTTCGTCTTTATCTACGCGACAACTATTGCGAATTTGTCGTCGACTGTCACAACATCCAGATGAAAGCCTTTACTATGCCGTTAATAAAGCCTGCCTTTCCAGGTGGGAGTGCTAGTTTTGATGCAAGAGCTTCTTGGTCAGTTGCTAACACCCAAGATACCTTTTAATACCTTTTAGTGGATAAGTAGATAATACAGTTGCTGTCTTGTTCCTTAAAGTCTGTCATTTCTTTAGAAGTATTTCAGTGGTATTCTCAAACCTAGGAGGTAAGCAGAAGTGACTTTGTACTCTTTTCTCATCTTTGTGAAGATATTTCATTGCATTGTATAAATTAGGTCACCATTATCAGTGTTACTTCACTATCTCAAAATTCTGAAAGCAGAATTATGTTAATGTCCAACATGACTAGATATTAGGTGAAGGCTTGGTTTCAGTTCTAAAAACTGTGTTTGGGAAAGTTACGAACATCTAGGAGTTCTTTTGTTAGTTTGTTATGGTGGGGTTTTTTTCAAAATAAAGCAAATTGTAATTATCAAAAGGTTTGGAAAACTGCAAGGACCTAGTTTTGGACACCTCAAAGCTCACTCTTTGTCTTTGGAACCCAGGGTCCAACTGAACTGAGTCAAGAGAAAAGGTATTTCCGAAAAAACATTGTTTCTATTGTAGCTTTTACTGGCAGTGAAATGAGGACATTACATACTTCCAGTCCTAAGCCATCCTACATTACCCTGTTGCAATATTTGATATCACTGAAGCTTTTTAAAAGAAGCACACAACCACAAATGTAGTTTATTGCCTATGTGAGAAGGTCACTTTCTCTCTGAAGGAATAGGTGAAATGTTGAAGACACGTGTAGAGTGAAAAGAATAGACATTCAGAATTTGGAGGTCCAAGTAATGCTTCATAGTGATTTTGGGTTACAGAAAATACTGTTTGGATTTTGTTTTTTTTTTAAAAAAAGAAGTCCTTAAAATACTACATCCCTATTATTTTTCTTCATTTAGGTTTTTACCAAACCTTGCCAGATCAGCTTTACATAAAAATCTGCAGGATTCTGGTATTGAGACAAGTCCAGATGATGTGAAGAAACTAGAGGAAAAGGATTACACATGTAAGCTTCTGCTGTCTTTTGTCCTGCTCTTCGTAAATGTTACTCAGACAGTTGTGCATATAAATGTGTATTAATTATCCTCTGAATCACAGAATCATAGACTGGCCTAGGTTGGAAGAGACCTTAGAGATCACCTAATCCAACCTCCCTGTCGTGGGCAGGGACGCCTCTCAGCTAGATCACACTACTCAAGGCTTCGTCCAACGTGGCCTTGAACACCTCCAGGGAGGGAGCAGCCACAACATCTCTGGGCAACCTCTTCCAGAGTCTTGCCATCCTCTTACCGAAGAATTTCTTCCTAAGATCCAGTCTAAACCTATTCTCTTTCAATTTAAATCCATTTCCCCTTGTCCTGTCACAGACACTTGTAGAAAGTCCCTCTCCAGCCTTCCTGTAGGTTCCCTTCAGGTATTACAAGGCAGTTGTAAGGTCCCTCTGGACTCTTCTCCAGGCTGAACAATCCCAGCTCCCGCAGCCTGTCCTCGTAGCAGAGGTGCTCCAGCCCCTGGATCATCCTTGTGGCCCTCCCCTGAACACGTGGAATTTTGTTCCCCATCGTGTTTAATGGTTTCCCCATCTAAACGATCGATGACCTCAGGCTTTCTTGGACTGTTTGTTGTGGGGTTTTTGGTTTGTTTTTTTCCAATCATTGATAACTCCTCTTCTTTACAGTTGCAGCCTTTGTTTGATCTTAATATTTTTTACCATCACTTCTTTCTCTCTATTTTTAATTGAGACTCTTGTAAAAGTCTTGAGTTAGGTTTTTCTTTCATTCTAGCACACATTTCTTGCCAATTTTTCTTCCTTCTTTTTATTCTCTTCAAATTGTTGTGGTTGTTACATGTCTTTACCTCATCCAAGTTTTCATTGTTTGTGGTAGCTTTCAGTGCTACACGTATACTTCTGCTTCTGCCTTTTTTCTCTCTTCTGCTTTCTCATTCCTGCATGACCTCTGATCTTCATGCTAGCTGTGTATCTTTTCATGTCTTCTGTCTGGCAGCACACTTTGAGCAATTTGCCATTTTCTATTCACTAAATCTTTACTTCACCAGTGTTGTCTCTGCTGTTGTTCTGTATGTTTATACCCAGTTTTGTGATTTATTTGACTTACGTGATTTTGCTGTTAGATCTTTGCAGTTGTAAACACATCTTTGGTTTTAATTATATGGATTCTGTTCTTATACTTTTTATTTATATGTCTGCATATATTAAAACATATATATACACATACAGATATATTAACATCTTATATACAAAGTAATATATATATGCAGCCATATGTATGTGTATCTATATACATATGCAGGCGTCCATTCATTATTATATCTGTATTTGCATTTTTGTCTATATAAAAACTATATATATAAAATTGAACTCTTCCCAGTTGTGTGATGCTACCAGCTTACCATGCTTTGTTTTATCTGAAAGCATCCCTTGAATTTTCTTTGTGTTTCTCTGTTTTGTGCCATAAAGATAGAATTATATGGAATAATAGGTGAACAACTAAAAACATCTGTCTAGATTCAAGGCTATTTTCAGTTTTACACCATATCAGATTAAGAAATGAGTGGCCAAAAAATATTACTGTTTTTATTGCGCAGTATTATTGGTTACACTTCGTTGTTCTTTTCGCAAGGATAGAATTTATAGTCCTTTTGATCTAAGAAATTTTTCTAATGTACTTTTTCTCTCAGAGCTGTATTTGAAGATTATTTTAAGGACTGCAAATCTAGCCAGTTTTCACCAAAATGTGGTGTGTCCATGTTCTGGCATAAACCCATTTGAGCAAAAAGGCAGCGCTGTCAGGGAGAAAAAACAGTGACATGATACTGTTGTGGTGGGTCAGTCCCGGCTCTCAGCCGAGTACCCACACAGCTGCTCACCCACTCCTCTCCACACTCCACTCCCCAGAGCAGGGAGAATGATAGTGAGAAAACTGTTAATGATAATTAACTGTTAATGATAGTGTCATTAACAATATTAGTGATATTCCAATAATAAAATGAGAGTGTGGAATTAAACCAAGGCAGTGGTCACAACTTCGGGTGTTTCTTACGATACTTTTCCCATAAGATCACCTATTCATCATTTCCTGTAATAGACTCCTTTGCAATTTTAAAGAGTATTCAAATTCATGATAACGCAGCATCGTGTTGGCAGATACTCTTCCAAGCATTCTTCTCTTCAGATAGAAATCATTTACTACAACCCACAGCTTTGTTAAAATCTGTAAATTGTCTCTTGAAAGTGTTGGGAATTGATTGCGTGTCTGCTCAGAGGATGCTGTAAGTAATGCATTTGCTTGTTTCCTGAAAAATGTCTAGGTGAAATAAACAATGGTGTTCTGAAGATAGGGTCTGTGAAGATGCCTGTTTATAACTCAAGTGAGAAAATGAAAGTGCCTGATGTTTTGTTTTATGAAAATACACAAGTAAGTATGAATCTCTGACCTCTGAGGTACAAATAGTTTGTTAAGTGTGTACTACCGCGCATGCTTATATCTTTCAAATAATGTACTAACTAAATTTAAAGGGTGTATTTCTGAAGGAGTTTTGTTAGGCTAAAATTTTTCTCACAGGATTAGGTGCTTGTTTCAGATGTGTCTTCACCATCCCTTTGTGAAGAGGTTGTAACAAACTTGTTGAATATTTTTAAAATAAGAAGTAGCAGTGATGGAAACAGAATTTCATTTACAATTATTTGAACAAATGTTGAGTAATTTATCTTTTTTTTTTTCTCCTGCTCATGATCTGATCCACTCTTAGAGTTGGATGATTGATTCCATCCCAAGGCCGTGTTGTACAGGCTCGTCACATGAAGTTGTACCTGCCTTTTGTTAGAATTAACACTACATGTTTGAAGAGGAAGCTGAAGGGTAATTAGTTAATTAGTTACTAGTTAGTGGGTTATTATTTATTTTAATTAGTTTGACTTACTAATTAGTCGTTAGTGTTAATTCATAGTAGTGAAGAATAAGAGTAATTGGTGAATACAAGAAAAAGCACAGGCTTGGTGATTGTGGGGTTTTGGGGTTTAGTTCCCCCCCTACTCGTTTTTTAGAAGTAGGTGTACTGCAGCTTTCTTCTCCATCTGGTGTGGAAGCCTCAAAACTGTCAGACAGGGGCATCCTTAGCAAGAGACTTATCCTCCGAGTTACCTTTAGAATATTTTGCCACTGAAAGGCGACACTGATAGCGGGATCTTGTGAAATATTTCTCATTTAGGGCCTGGTTTGGGTTTGCTTACTTTTCCTTTCCTACTCTTTCTTTTCCTCCTTCGCTTGTAATTTCTCCGCAGAACGACTGTGCTACATGAGTGTCACCTCCTGAAGGTGATGACAGGCCGTGCAAGGGGAACAGATGACAGACTTCTTCATCTTCCCCACTAAAATTTCATGTGAGATTTTGTTCTGTGTTGCCATTTCGGTAAAGTACTTAATCAGGAAATGAAATCCTGAGTCTTGCTAGGAGTTATAGCTGCATTGCTTTTTCCATCTTCTTGCTTATAGCTTCAGAAAACTGTATGCACCCTGCATTCCAGTATTATCCATCTGTCTTATTTAGGCAACATCTGTTAAAAATACTGCAGAGAATGACCTGCTCTGTATCTGTCCCTGATAGTTGTGCACTCAGCTATACTGAAGGGAACAACAGCCAAATACCAAGATAGCTGTTCCCAGTTCTAAATGAATTATACTCTTAATTTCTGTATTGCTAGTTTGCGGTTCAGTCATTACAGTGCTGTAATGACCGTTTAAGCAAAGCCTGCTGGAGACCAAATTTCATTTGACTCTAGTGCAATACTTCCTTTCTGTTATCTAAACACTACGGGAATCAAGAGTAATGGAGAAAAAAGAATCTATCCTCAGCCCTTTGCAGTGCTGCACAATGTAATGAAATACATAGTTTTTGCCTCTGTGTGTTTGGTCTCAAAACATTTCATGTTCCAGTGGAATTTAGCATTGCTCTGGAACATTGCTGTTTGTCCACAAGTGGCATAGGGATGGAAATAATTTTTAAGTGAGATGCCAGATGCCACTTTCAGGCCAGGCTTTAGGGAACATGATTTGGTAAAGTTGATATGACATTAATGTACCTACTTAAAAGTCCTTTGTGTGAATAATTAATCTGAAACGTCTGCATGAATCCTAACACAATGCTAATTTAGATCCTGGTGAGAAAGGAAAAAAAGGGTATCAATACATAGTGGCTCTTGTAAGAATTCTGCAGAGGAGGTAAGATTTTCTGCAGGGAACTGTAATGTACACATCTGTGCAATTTAGGGTAGAAAAAGAAGTCATCAGAAGGAAGTATTCATGCCTTAGCAATAAAATAAAAAACATAATCAGTGTGTGTGGTAAAGCAGACTTCTTAGAATTTATGTTGTATCTGGTCAAAGTTATTCTCATAAATTTCCAGTGTATATGCGTGCCAGAAAATATAGTAATTTGCCTCCAAGTCCTCTCCTTAAAATGTGTATTGAGTATTCAGTAGTTTTTTACATGTCTGGTTAGGATTTTGTGGTATTAAGCTGTGTTTACAAGAGGTTTTTTCCCCCCACACCCAGCCTGTGTTCTGCAGAAATCTGGAAACCTAAAACTTCTTTCACACAGTTAGGAACTGAGTACTTCTATGCTCTGAAATTACAGACAAGCTACTGATTTTTTTTTTTATTTTTTTTTTTAAAGCCAAGTACTAGAGATAATAATGTGAAAAAATAAAATATGTTTATCTAAAGGCCAGCATTCATTTTTCTAAGTAGGTTGTCTGACCTACTTACGTATGACCTATTTTTACTTGATACAGTGGAGAAATATACATGACTTTATTGTGAGTAAAGTAGTCTGCATTGCCACATTATCTTTAAATCCTTTCCATCCTTTTAAACAAATTATTTGTGAGGAGCAAGATAAGGTTAAATGATGTGCAGTACGTATTACCTTCTGTGATACTAGATATGTGTAAAATACACCTCGAGCACTTTAGCTTCAATTAGATGGTCTAATTGAGAAGTTGTAAGACACATAATAAACGCTTGAGCTTGCATTTTCTTATTTTGGTTTTCCTTGAAAATAAAGTTTGATTGGAAAAGAGAAGTGTTTGTCGTTAAGCTAGAACTGACATTTGATCTTTAGTAAAATAAATGTGTATAATTTACATATTCATGTCAGCTGCCTTTTATTCCCTCTGTTTGGTGTCTGTAAAGTTTTACCAGGATATATTCTGCTTCATCCCAGTACAATTGCTGGAAAACTGTCATACACATTTTAATGAAATTCCTTACACTCTGGGTGACAAGCATTCAACTGGGCTAAAAGGAAATGCATTAGGAATAATTACAGAGAATTAAATATTTTTAGGGAAATCAGACACTCACAATCAGTTGGAGTGGAAGAACTTTGTAAGAAGAGTTAGTGCTTTTGTTTCATTTAGTCACTGGACTAGACTCTTGCTGTGAAATAAGTAGTTGTATGAACAAAACATTTTGGCCCCAAATCCTGTTGTGCTACTATCATTAGTGAACATGTAAACTTAAACAGAATTTTCACTCCTGTTTTTATACTCTTTTATTTTTCTAGCACATGATGGTAATGGAAGATATGCTAAAGGACTTCTTGCTGGGAGAACATCTCCTTTTAGTTGGCAATCAGGTGAGTTAAACGCCTCTTACAATGAATGGAACAAACTCATTGTTTCATCATGAAATTGTATTTCTCTTTTGTTTCATTGAAATTGCATTAATTTGTACTATTGAGGTATTTGACCCATTTATTGATTATCTACTAGCATCCATGGACTTTATGGACACGTATTGGTGTAAAATATAAATGTCTTAAATGTTTTTTTACATTGCTATCAAAAGTAAAGTCAAAACTTCAATAGTTATATGTAACTTCATTAGCATTAAAATCTTTGGTTAATGACTTTGGTTATCCTCTTGGCTATGTATTGAACCTCTCTCTCCTTCAAAATCTCCAATAGTAGATGAAAGGTGTACGTATAAGTATTACATTGATCTTCTTTATTGACAGCAAAATATTCTCTGGAAAAGATACAGATTCACTTTGACTAGTATCTTTGTGATTGGAGACTTTATTTCTGAGATCATGGAGGCTATTGTGGTGTTTTAGATGGTCGTTAATGCTTCATGACACCTTCAAATAGTTTGTAGGCTCCCAAGTATGAGGTGTCAGCAGATGTTTACCACTTGGGTATATTTGAAAGTCTTTGTTCTTCAGAACCATCTTAAACTATTACTGGAACTGTTAGGTGACTTGAACAGAAATATCCACTTAACTAGTAAACTTTGGGGAAAAAAAGAAAACTTTTGTATTATTTCTTTATATTTGAAGTGGTCAGAAAAGTGATACATCCCAAGCTGCTCGATTGTTTTTTCCCTCATAGTATCTCTTTTGTTTAACTTCACCTTAGCAAGGATACAATGATTTTCTAGCAGATGTTTATGTTTTGCAATAACCTTTGGAAAAAGTGTTAACACAAAACACCAATGGTCTAACCTACATGGCAAGGAATATAAAATGCTAATTGTTACTAATGTGCACATATTAAAATTGCAGTGTACATCTATATACAGCCTCATCTATTTAGAGTCCTTGTTAACAGCTTGAATTTACAAAGACACTGTACTTGAAACCTCTGTAGATTTTTGCTGGATGATGACAGCTTCTCCTCAACTATTTCATCTATTCAAAAATAGAAATTAATCCATTTAACACATGAAATAAGATCTGTTTATTCTATTTCACAAACAGTACTCTCTATGTCAGGTTCCGAGTTAGTGTTGAAAATATTACTTAGTACAGATTACCTACAGGTTTGGGACTAGCACGAGTGGGTTCCTTCACAGGGGGGTGGAGGCAGAGTGAGTGTCCTCAGTGACAACGTTTGCAATCTCAAGGTGTCCACAGAAGAAGAGCAGGTCTGGAGACAGCAGCCACAGTCAGCCAAGTGCCCAGTGGCTGCCAGACAGGTCTGTGGTGATGAGGCAGGTCTGAGGTCAAGCTGGAAAGTCAAGCCAGCAGGTCCAAGCTGGGATCAGCAATGCCCAAGGCCAGGCCAAGTGTCAAAGCAGCGTAGGTTGGGAAGGAACTGAGGAAAAAGCCCAAGTGTAAATGGAACTGCGGAACCATGGAGGGCAAAGGGGACCCCAGTGAGGCACAGACACTGTGTTACAGCTGGTCTTCAACTCAGGCAAGTAAAATTCTAAATGGTGGGAAGAGCTCGCAGATCCCAGTGGTACACTCAGGGCACCGACATGTGCCTCATATGTTCTACCAATTTAGCAAAAAAAAAAATTGTGCGAGTACCATTTTTAGGGTATAAGGTATTTTCCCAGCAGTGATATACTTCTCTTTAATAATTGAATGTATGACAGGTTTTCATTAAGCTTATGAAACTCTAATTGGAGACAACGTAAAAGATTGAACTGGGTTGAAGTATCGAAACTTACTGCTTTGATTCTAGACATCAGCTCAGCTGTACCATTAAGTTGGAACATCAGTTTATTTGCTGTGATTTGTCCTTGGCAAATCAGTAATACTTAAAGGTTTTGGTTTTTTAATTGCTAACATACGTCTGCATACTTCCAGTTTTGCTCTTACTAATTTGTTCCACTGTTTTTATGTGTGACTAAGAAAAGGCCAAATGGCCTTCTTTTTTTTTTTTGAAACACTGTTTTTTATTTTGAGCACTGTATTTGCCATTCTGCAGTCTTTTAGGACCACACCAATCATCCTTGATTTCTCAGTGGTGATCACCAACCGTTTAGAAATTGCTTGGCTAATTCCTTAAATATATTACTGTAAATTCCCGCAGCATGTGATGAATCATGCTGGATTACTTCAAAAGCAACCGTATTACATCAATATGTTTTCATGTTATATGTGCAGATACCTTCCCACCAAAGACCTGAGAGTTTTGATCCTTTTTTTTGTAAAGCAAATGATTAAAAAATAAGGGTTTTTGTTGTTCTGTTACTTTAACAAGTCAGTCTCTAGTAAGGAGGTAGGGTTTTAATATCAGTGTATACCCGTGTTTCACATTTGGAAGAAATAAATACTATTTTTCTGTGGGGATATGAAGTGCTGTTTTGAGCTCCTTTCTGTTGTACTTCTTGCTGGTGAATGAGTGAATCATGAAAATTCAGCGTCCATAACTGACAGTTCAAATATTCTGAACCTGAGTATTTTGAAATATATGACTAACATCCCTTTGAATGCTTGTGTAATTTCCTAGATATTTAAGTGAGTTGGCATATACCTTAGAACGTAATTTGGTCCATCAGAATGATGATTATATAAGTATCTCCACTCAACTGCGGTTCAATGTGCAAGGCGTGCCCTGTAGTCTTTCTTTTAGAGACTGAGCTTGGTTTTGCATGGTTGACTGAATGTGATTTTCTTCTTTTGCCTGTTGTTTTTGTAACACAAAATACCTGTTAGCTTAAGACCCTCTCTCTTTATTTCAAAGTCTGTCAACATAGTCTCTTTTGTGTATTCTTTTTAGTTAGGAGCTGCGAGAGTCCTTTTGCCAAGATAGTTTGCAAAATATGAACTTTGACGATTAGCAATTGCAGTTCAGTAAGTTAAAATTAAATTACCTTGGTGAATGTTAGAGAGTTACTTTTTAATCAAACCGAGGAGAATTCAAAGACAAGTGTCAAATACAGACAGATATCTTTGGAAGCATTCAACTTTTGAAGTAAACTACTTTATAAACCACTTCGTTCATGTGCGTTCCCTGGAGCTTATATGGTTTTCGCAGCATAAATGTACGCATAAATAAAGCTTCATCTAAATATTTGTTTATGATCGTTATTGACTTACTTTGGATGCAAACTGGAATGCACTTCCATTTCATGTATCAGCAAACAGCTTTCTTTGAGTCCCTGGGAACGGCAGTGGATAGTTAGGAATTTTCAGCTATGAAATAGCTTCCAGTTAAAGGAAATGCCAGAACTTTAAATACGGCTTCTGATACTGCTTCCTGAATGAGCCTGCAGTTGGAATGTGAATGAGTCTGTCTTTGAGTGTCTATAGTTTCTCAAAGCAGCTATAAACCAGCTTCTTCCTTGGCAGAGAGTAAGCAGCTCTTTATTACTCTCAAAGCAACAGACAAACAACAGTAAGAGTCCTGTTTAGTAAAGGTTACTTCTTCCAAACTTTGCAGTGACTGTTTATTTAGTCATTACACAGAGCCTTTACAGCTGCTCCCAAGCTTCATAAGACAGACTAGAGTATTTATTCTTACTACCAAGAAAAAATTTTAGGCTGTGTTTGTGTGAAATTTTTCCTGATGGACGTTGCGCCGCTCATGGATTGGGCACAACTTGGTATCTTTTACTGTCTCCTTGTATTTCCTGTCTTGGGCAAATAGGAAAGGAACTGTGTTAATAAATATAATTTGTTTATGTGGAAAAACCTGAAAAAAAGTAGCAGTGGCTGAAACAAATTTTACATATCGCATTTCCTAAATTGTTACATTTGAAAGTTTTGTGAAGAAGCCTGTTGGATGTTTTCACCTCTGTTGGTCATATATGAAGTCTTGGCAAACATCAGCTGCTTTTGAAGACATCGAACAAAATATTGATAGTTAAAAGGAATTTGTGGCTTTCTGGAGAGAAAAGGCTCACAGCCTTATAACTTCTGAATTATTTTACAGCTATGAAGTTTGAAAACACCTAACAACATGTTAAACAAAATCAAAATATTTTATTCAGCATTATTCTGCTGCTAGTATCTGTCACGTGTTACCTAAAAGAACACAACTGCAATTTTATGTAGCAGGACAGATGCTGCTTGTACCAGGTCCAGTTCTGCCATGCCTCAAGAATTGCATGTGATCCCTGGCCATGTGTTCGTTAATAGAACCATAGAATAGAATCATAGAATTGTCAGGGTTGGAAGGGACCTTAAAGATCATCTAGTTCCAAGCCCTCTGCCGTGGGCAGGGACATCCCTCACTAGATCAGGTTGCCCAGAGTCCCATCCAGCCTGGCCTTAAAAACTTCCAGGGATGGGGCTTCCACCCCCTCTCTGGGCAACCTGTGCCACTGTCTCACCACCTTCATGGGGAAGAACTTCTTCCTAATGTCCAATCTGAACCGATCCATCTCTAGCTTTAATCCGTTCCCGCTAGTCCTACCACTACCCAACATCCTAAAAAGCCCCTCACTAGCTTTCTTGTAGGCTCCCTTGAGGTACTGGAAGGGCACAATAAGGTCTCCTCGGAGCCTTCTTTTCTGCAGACTGAACAGCCCCAACTCTCTCAGTCTATCTTCACAGGAGAGGTGCTCCAGCCCTCTGATCATCCTCGTGGCCCTTCTCTGGACACGCTCCAGCACGTCCATCTCTTTCTTGTGCTGTGGGCTCCCGAACTGGACGCAGTACTCCAGGAGGGGTCTCACGAGAGTGGAGTAGAGGGGTAGAATCACCTCCCTTGACCTGCTGGCCACGCACCTCTTGATGCAGCCCAGGACACGATTGTCTTTCTGGGCTGCAAGTGCACACTGATGGCTCCTGTTGAGCTTCTCCTCCACCAGCACCCCCAAGTCCTTTTCTTCAGGACTGCTCTGAAGCTAATCTTTGCCCAGCCTGTATTGGTGCTTGGGATTGCCCCGACCCAGATGGAG